GAGCACTGTGTCCCACAGCATAGGGTAGGACGGTGGAGTCTCTGGGCTGGGAGTCTGTGATGTGCAGAGCTTGACTTTCCTTGTTTATCGAGGCGAATACTTTCCATTCTTCATCTGTAAGCTCAGGATAACAACACGGGATCAACACTCCTCCAGGATCAGTGGTAAGGTGTCTTCCTGTTGCATAACCGCAGTGACTGTGATAAATTCGCCTTCCTGGCACTCAGTACTGGGGCTTGGCTCCACTATGGACTTGCCACTACCCCTGTTTCAAAGGACATCAACAAGAACAGAATATTCCATTATTGGGATTTCTACACATTTCTTTCCTGTACCGTATTTGCCAGAAACACTCCAGATTAACCACTTGAGGTCCCTTCTTCTCCCGCTTCCCGAATTTTGAAAAACATCTCATGTCCTAAAATGCCCAACTTACAGCTAGGCTGAGCCAAAAATAGCAACAAAACTTGCAGCTTCTATCACTGGTCTGGCAGCAGAGCTCACCACAGGTCTCTGTTTAGGAGATTTTTGGGAATATTTATGTTAGTTGCAGACAAAAATAGCATTCTCAAAAAAGCAAATCATTTTAAAAATAAGCTACTGTCTGACTTTGTCTCCCTGTGGAAACTCAGAAACCAAGCAACTCTCCAGCTGTACTATGCCACATGGACATGACGCGCGTGTCATTTGGGAATTATAATTTTTGGACTCACACAATTCTGGACTTTCTCACTTTTGCCTGACATTCACTACCCAAGATCAGGACGTTCACATGACCCTCAGTCAGAGATAGCAGAGCACAGGTGATTAGCAGCAGGGCTTTCGAGACAGAGCTGTCTAACGTGTAAGATATTGAAACCATTCCCTTTTGCATCAGGTCTTTTTATAGATTATTACATGTACCAAGCCATCATTGCCTATCACGCCCTATTGCAGACGCAAGAACTGTGCTCGGCATTTCGCATTCTGCTACCATGTTCGCTTACGATCTAGACTAGCGCTCGATAGATACCAAGGCATTCCAGCGACATGTCGGACTGGATCACTACACACGCACGAACCCCTTAGCATATTTCCAGGCCATATTCCACTCTCCGAGCGTGACTGTGTTGGCCTGAAATACACCGTGTACTTTGCACCTCCACTATCATCATCTGTCGCTCATTTGGGTCTAATATTCCAATATGCGCTAAACGTGACTATGTCTAACTCCATTTTTTCAATACTGAATCCCACCCTGGTTCATCTATTATTGAAAGCTTATACTCTCCTTTCACCTTGCCAACTCAAATATGATTGTATAAGATCGTTTCCTTGTCACCTCATCTTCTAGTGTATTGATTAATTCTACATGTATTTTTGTAATGTTAATGGGATTGCATTTATCTATATATAAACATATTAGCTACCAATCTCAGCATTGCTTATTCTATGCATCGATGGAAACCTATGTGACTTTACAGAGAGAATAAACAGTCAGTCTAGAAGGCTCTAAAATCTGTGGTGACAACAAGTAGAGAATTTCTCACAAATTGAATCTTAATATATGCGCTCTATTTCTCATCTCTTTACCTCTGTCTTACACTGTTATTTTGTTTCACCCTTCAGAGGCTCATTGTTAACCCAGTGTTTTTTCAATCTCAGCCATCCTTGTGTCAATAGCTTCCTAAAATTTCTCTCAAGTTTCTCACAAACAATCTAAAAAAAAAAAAAAAAAAAAAAAAAAAAAAAAAGTGGTGGTGGTGGGGAAATATGTTTAGTTTTAACTTGACTTTTAATCAGGGCTGAATCAAGGATATTTTGGGCTCATAAAAAATTCATTTCCACAAAGAGCTGTTGGGAGAAAGTATACATCTGTTCACTGAGCCGTTATTTCAAAACTTCAGGAATATGTGCAGGCTGGGCCTTTTCAACACTTCACTGAAACATAACTCACTGTGATGGGATCAACAAGCAACTTACATTTTAGTAGGTGACAATAGGGAATAAAAAAAGGACTCAATTTTTCTGTTGAGTGATTCTGACTTGCGCTCGGTGACACCTGCTGATTGATGATCTCCAGCTAGAGTGGGCCAGCTCCCCGAGAGACTGGACAGATGTGTACAAACAACGTGGGGAGTGGAGGTGTCCATTCTCTTGAAGTGATCTGGTTTTGGGGTTAGATTTATAATTTTTTTTTTTTTTTATTGGCAACAGTGGCTCCTGTGAGGTTTCTAAGAAGATGGAGAATGAACATTAGGCCTTGAAAGTCAATTGTTCAGAAACTCCAAGACATATGCTGGTCGATGCGTTTGATGTCAAAACAAAAATGATTGATAGAGAGGAGGACATGTCTTAAGACAGCCGCACGCAGTCTAACTCCTTTGCGTGCCCTTGGGGGAGACCAATTTGCAAGGCTGGTATTTACTATTTCATTTGACTTCTTTGTGGCATTTACATAGTAATGTTTTCAGTTTAACTTGGGAATGTTATTTTAAATCCCATACATGCTGCATATAAAAGTGTCTAAATGAGTTATATTATGTGTTTACTGTTTCTCAATGTTTGTTTATGTGACAATTTGAAGCTGTTTGCCAATCACTGCCTTCATTGTAATATACTGTCAGCAGGGTCCCCTAACAAGAAATGTGGTGCTCCTCTCTCCCGTGCCTGCAGTAACAAACGCCCATGTTTGAGGGTTACACCAAATTCCATCCTAACCCAAGCTATTTGTTTCATAAGTATTCAAGTTAGTGGTTTTCAGTTGTGGCGTTTTGGTCTCCCGGTCTTAGAAAGAGCACAGAGCCCTTGGTAGGCCTGAGGCAGGCATGTAATACATGTGAGTGTCATTTGTCCTTTGTGTGGGAGCAGAGAAGAGGTTGAATACAGCTGATCTAGTGAATAGAGATGTAGTGGGTAAATATTTCATAATTTACTCAGATGTACAAACCAGGACATGCTTATTTTCAATAACAACTTAATTTCTAACTCCAGTAACCCAGTTTGCTTGATTTCAGAAAACTTACTTTAAGAAAATATAGGTTTTTCTCAGTTAAAGCATGACTTTCTAAGTCAATTTAGGATTTCTTCTCCCCCTCCCCCCCCCCTAGGGTGACATCTAAGTTCTAGAGGCCTTAACTGGTGGCCTAGCGGTGGTGGGGGCACTGCCTGGGCTGGTGTCTGCTGGGATGAAGAGCTTGGGGTGTGGTCTGGGACATTATCATTTCTAATTTCATATGCCTAAGTCCCTGTAGGTCTCTGGCTGTTATCCATATGCTCTGTGTCCTTTGTGTTATAGTATTGACACCCCTCAAAATCTACTAAGGCTCTCTCAATTAATTTCTATGATTTTGTGTGCATGTGAAAATTCAGATGCTCTTACACCAGTCTGGCAGAGTGGGGCTGTCTTGGGCTCTCTGGGCCTGCTGGCAATACCACACAGCTATCTCTGCTGAAATAACACGAGATATTGTCACCCAGGCTTTCTGAGAATAATTAGTTGTAAGTGTCCTCCACTTTCAGATATCTAAAAACCTATTTGGGGGCTGCATTGTCACCTTCCCCTGCCCCACGGTGGGAGGGTGTGTGGAGGGAGGGCACAGAGGTCTTCACCCACGTCTTACTTTCTTGCTTTTGTCTCCATCACCCCTAGACATTCCCCAAAGCCAAGAAATTTGCATTAAATCTAGGGTTGCATCGTTGGTCTTTGTATCAACATATATTCTAAGAGAACTTTTTAAGGCATAGATTTTTTTTTTTTAAACTCAAAAATCATAGCTCAAACTCAAAACCCTTTTTTTTTCATTCTACTGTCTCTAGAGGAAGTTTTCAAATTTTATTTTGAAACTTGAAAGCAAAGTATTTATTTATCCTTTTATCCCTTTTTCTTTTATGTTATTGTGAACTCCCTTCTCCAATACAGGAAATGGATCAGAACTTCCCTTGCTGCTGCCTAGCATAAGAAGGACAACAGGCAAAGGTGATTATCAGGAATAAAATACACATCTGTTCATATGAAAGTATTACTTTGCCACAGAGATGATTAGGACTGGGGGTTCCGACAACCCATCTACTAACAACTTTCTATGAGATCAGAGAGGAATTTTAAGTGATTGCCTTCTGAGAAGCCATATGGGGCACTGGTTAAGAGCATGAGCTACAGAGTCAGATGGTTTGGATTCAAATACTAGGAGTGTATGACATAGGCCAAAGTATTTAACCTCCTTGTGCCTCAGTTTCTATATACCAGACCAATAACAAAGGCTGTTATGAGAATTAAATTAATATGTAGAACACTCAGAACAGAAGCCAGTTAGTAGTAAGCACTTAACAAACACTAATTACTATTATTATTAGGTGTTGCCAGTCCATGTGTTGGAAATGTTTTAAAGTGATTATCTCATATACACATGTGTTCTAAACAATACATGTAATCATCAAAACTTAGGCTTTTAGTTACCTCTTCAGTTGTTTTGTCCATGATAGCTAATTTTAACTTTTTTTTCACTCTCTTGATATAATTGGTTAGTTGATTAGGCACCATATCAGTAAAACTTCTTTTATCCCTGTAGAGTTGCTCAATACAGAATGTGGCTGCCCAGAGTTAGCTAAACTTTGAGGTTAAGGGCACAGTCCTCCAGACTGATAAGTCTACCTAACACTTCTGACCCCAACTTCTAGGAGTTGGGACCCAAATACAAAGGGTGGGTAAATCCACACAAGACTACCATCACCACTGGCACCAATGACAAGTTTAACATTTCCTAAAACAGGTTTCATAATTTACTAGAAAGACTCACAGAACTCAATTAAACCTGCTAAACTCATGAGTAGTTTATTACAAGGAAAGTATACATTAAAATCAGCCAAAGAAGGAGAAGCATGGGACAGAATCTGGTGGGGTTCCAAATGTGAATCTTCATTGTCCTCAGGGATGGGTTACCCTCCCAGTATCAGTGTGTGACAATACTCATGAAATACTGCCTATCTGGGAAACTCACCTGAGCTTTGGTGTCCAGAGCTTTTATTGGGGCTTCATTGTATAGGCATGATTGATTGATTACCTATGTGGTTGAACTGTCTCTAGGTTGACAGACATCTTGTGACCCAAATCCCCCACTTCAATTGATATAGTTGGTCTTCCTGACACAGCAAGCCCCGGATCCCAAAACTATTGAGTATGGCCAGCCCCATTGCTGAGTCATCTTGTTAGCACAAACTATCAGGGTGGTCCAAGGGGCCCACCATGACTGACAAAGACACTTGTATGATTTTGGGAAATTCCAAGACTTTAGAAGTTACCTCCCAGAAACTGGGATAAAGATCAGAACTGTCTGGCTTTTTGAGGCTAAATTCCTTACTACACATTAATAGAAGAACCAGCAAATGTCAATGTTAGTAATTTAAATTTTCCCATTGTTATACAGAGCCTGGCTCACTATGGCGTTTCACCTCCCAGTTCCAGTTTGGAGATGATTGGTCTGGTGCTGTTGCTGTGCCCACTGTACATACAAACGTACCCTCTGTGGTTTTCCATGTTGACTCCTATTTTTGTGTGAACTCTCTTTAAAGTCTTTAATTTTTGTCTCCACTCCTATTGGACTGGTGCCTCAGTCCCAGAAGCACTGCTTCGTATGTTTTCAATCCTTTTCAGTCAGTGTTTGAGTTAATGGGATTGTCACCAGGAGCATCCACACTTGAGAGACAGCCCAGCAGAGAGTAAGATACATGCCCAATTCTTAGATTAATTTATTCATAAACTATTTGTCACACTCCTTTGTGCCAGGCACAATTCTGAACACAGGGCACTTAGTTGAGCTTAGAGGTTAATGGGAAAGGCAGATATTATACGGATAATCACACAGAAATACACAGAAATTGTGATAAGGTCTGCAAAGGAAATTACAGGTTTCCTTAAAACAGTAAAACAAGAGGAGCAAATTTAGGTTGAGAGGGAGGAAAGTGTTCTTTGAGGAAGTGACATTTAATTCAAGACTTAAAGTAGGGTAATTATTAGCCAAACGACTAGGAACCCTGATTTGATTTGAGCTGGTAAGAACAGCATGATGTGACTTCTAAATTTAATCTTTGCACTGCACACTCCCCCTCCCATCAAATGAGGAAAATGATCCTTAACTAAATTTGAAATTAAATCACCCTTTAATCTAAGGTTCTTACTGGCTCTGGGGATTAAAAAGAAACCTAGTAAAATATTTAGTGAGGTTATGAAGAAATATTCCAAGAGAAGAAGAATTTGGGAAATTTTCAGTTTATCTCATGCCTGCATCTGCAGCCCTTGAAGGCTGTTTTCTATCTTTTAGTACATGGGTACCTCTGAGATCCACTGTGCTTTCTTTCCATGATATATGTTGATCTAATCATCAAAATTGCCTTTATTCTTTTGCATAGTCACATTTTTCCCAGGCAAAGGAACCAGAGATCATTGTAAGACATTGTGAACTCTTCTTCAATGAGATGAGCCAGGTATACTGCAATGAAAAAGTTAACCAGCTCTGATACCCAGCTTAAAGGATATTGGAATGAAAGCCATGGTAGGTCTCAGACTAAACACTATGAGATGTCTGTGTGCTAAGGACAAGAAAGAAAGAGGAAACAACTTTGCTTAGTCTAAGCAGATAGGGATTTGGGGAGGGACAGTCCATGGCTCACAGAATCATTAGGCAGGCTGGAGAAAGAGACTTTAGACCTGACTTCCAGGAACAATGACCAGAATCACCCGTACAGCTGGCCTGGTAAGAAAGTTGCTGTCCCTGTCCCAATCACAGCTGTCCCTAGTGCCACCAGCCACAGAGTGTGCAGCCAAACCAGCCCAATCTGGAAGCTGCTAGTACTGCCAGCCTGGGCCCATGTAGCCTCTACAGTCCCTAAACCAAGAAGAGGGATGGCTCTGCCTATCCTGTTCTTCATGTCACTCATCTTCCAATCAGAGACTCAGCTGAATACAAGTCTGCACCGTAGCTGCAAGGGAGCCTGGGAAATATTGTTGTTAAAAAAATTCCTACCTTGGAAAGGAGGGATTCACAGTGCACGGAAGTACCAATGTGGAGATGGTGTTTGAATTCTTTTGGGAATCCATTAATGACTCTTGTTCACTAAAGTAAAAAAGAATACCTGGGGAGATATAACAACAAAGATGAGGGATAAGAGAAAGATTCTCAAAGATTAGAAATCCTCAGCCTTAGAAGATGAAAAATGAGAGGAAATATGTGAAAGTGTGTGAAATGTCACAAGAGATAGTGAAATGAACTTGATCATTAAAATAGTGGAACTAATGTTTGAAGTTGATTTAAGTAAAAGAGCTTTACATCATACAAAGCCACATTCTTACAAGTGTCGGCATGGTTTGAATTTATCATAAACTTGACATTATATGTAAATAAATTCAGGGATGAGAAATGAAAACTAGTTTTTAAAGATAATTATATTACAGATAATAGAAAAATAAACTAAGTTTACCAATAATTGTCTTGCCATGTCATGTAGGTGACATTTATTTTTGTCTTTACTCTTTATCTAAATCAGGCAGGGCTGTTTCCTAAATATTTATATGAAATGATTCTTTGTTTGAAAATAGCCAACAATGATAAATGACTAGAGCCAGAGAAAATGAAATGTATAAAATATTGATTAAAGAATTTGGGAATATATGATCAAGCAATAAGCTCTTTTCTAAATTCTAGATATATTTGAAGAGGCACTCTTCCTTTTAATCCTGTTGGATGGTTCTTTCCCCAGCCAGGGGTAGTTTCCACACGTTTGCCAGGCATGCATAGGTAAGTACACAGCTGGATACTTGAGGGGTCCCTTCGCATCTCTCCAGGGTCTTCTCTCTGTGCACTTCTCTCCTCCCAGGTATTCTGTCCTATGCACTCTAGCTGGCTTAGTCTTTGCTAATTTCCAAATCTGTCTCTTTAACTCGGGGAACCCACCAGGGTCTGCCTCAATTCCCCCTGTCTGTGCAGGGACCTAGAAACTCTCAAAGCAGTTATCTGGGGTGGTGTTAGGGCTCCCCTCATTTGTTTCCCATCTCTCAGGGATCACTGTCATTCATTGCTGGTGTACAGTGTCTTGAAAATTATTATTTTGTGCAATTTGGGGATTTTTCTGTTGTTTCAAGTGGAAGGTAAATCTGCCACCTGTTGTTCCATCTTGCCTAGAAGCAGAAGTCCAGGTAATATGATTTTTAATGGTTGTATCTGTCATACAAATGTGCCCCAAATTTTCAAATCAATTCCTCTAATGTTAGACATTAGGATTTGTCTTCCTTCTGTACTCTTTTAAATAAAGTTCTCATGAATATTTTAAAAGCATAAATCTTTGTACACATTTGACTGTTTTCTTAAGAAAGAAGGAATTTCTGGGACTGGAATTTCTAGAAGTGGAATTATAGGTTCAGAGTGCATGGATTTGATATATATATTACCAAATTAATTTTCAGGCCCTGTGAAGTAGCTTTCTGCTTGATATAGCGCTCCACCGTGGAAGTGGTCCCTGGCACCAGACTTTGCCACCCATAGGATCCAAGGGAGTAAATTCTCCAGTGGTCCTGTGGCCTGTACTTGCTTCTAGGTCTTGGTTTGCCAAGTCAGTGTATATCAGTGGGTCCTAGTCTATGGAGGTCTTTCTCTACTTGTCTCTTAGACTCACTGTCTTCCATAGCCAGTGATGAAGGAGCTTTGCTGCTTATCTTTCTATGCTTGCCTCAAATCTGACAATATCTATACTAATTAAAGAGTGTTTCTCTCCTTTCTCTTTTTTCTTCCTTTCTCTTTACTTCTATGCTATTTTTTTCTAGGAATGAAGATAAGAGATCCAAGATGCAAGAAAGCCAATATGGTAGAGTGGTGCTAATATGTCCTAGAATCCCGTCTATATCATAGGACCAAAGAGGAACAAGTTCACACAAGGAGAAGAATGGAGGTCAAGGGAATGGGAATCTCTGGGGGGAAAAAGGAAAGAAATTAATAACCTACTTGATATGCTGGAAACATTTGGGAGAAATTACTAATACATGTTGTTAAGAATCTGGTGAAGGACTTAGAAAAAAATAGAAAATTGATAGACAGCAAATGAAAAAACGAGGTAATTATTAACTAATAAAAAGTTGTACTAGAAAGGAAATGTACTCACGGTACTCATTTTGGACAGTGACAATATTTGATCATAATCATGTAATATATGCACTGACTATGATTTAACCACAGATTTTGATGTAACCATGTTGGGAAGGTGAGAGTAGTGGTGTGCTACCATAGAAGGAAGTCAATAGATCATGTCTAATATTGATAACTCAAGGGCATAAGCATATTATTTAGAAATTGCTAAAATGGAATCGTATTGGAACGTGGAAGTAGAACATGGTATTGCTGTTTTCTTGATGGGGTGTGATAAGGATGGAACAGACCTTTGTAGCACTGTTGTTTTTTTTAGACATGTGCAGGTAGTATTTTGATTATAACAACTTTTGATTTTTTTAAAAAAATTAGCTATAACTTAATATGTACAATTTATTTTGTTGAGTAACAAGAACAATGATAACAATAATATGTATGTTTTGATATAAGAATTCCAGTGAGGTTGGGAATAATAACATGAATCCTTGGAGATATAAAAGCAGAGAACCACTGATTTATGTCTAACTGGGTTTGGTATTTTTTTCATGAATTTCCACAAATGTAAGTTTCCATTAGGGATCTCTGCATGAGAAGTAGGAGAAGCTCAGAACCTGTATATTTTTTTCAAAGAAGTGGTTGAACTTCCCTAGGATCATCTCTTACCAGTTGTTCATCTCCATACCATAGACCAAACCATAGAGTCATCCTTGTACCATGTGTCCTAAAGCCATTCTGTGTTTTTCTTAATACTACTAAAAAAGACAAACTGCTGGGAATAAATAGGAAAGAATTTGAGAACTAAAATTGTTATTAGGCACTTATTATTTATATTCCATTTACTTCTCCATAGATTTGAGGTTTTAACCCATGAGTGAGTATTAGCAAAGTCATGGTGCATCTAAACCTAATACTGATAATTGAAAGCCCTATGCAATGCTAACTATGTGCCAGGGTCTGTGCCCAGCACTTTGTGTATATTACTTCATGTAACTCCTACAATTAGGGTTAGGTACCATGATTAACACTGTTTCCTTTTTATAGTTGAGCACTAACTGAGGCACAGAGAAGGTAAGTACCTTGGTCAAGATCATCCAGTTAATAAGTGGAGAACCAGGATTTTTATACACTTTGCATTTTCTTTCCAATGTAAAAATCATGTATTGTCTGGTTAACATACTTGAGATGATGCTATAGAAAATAGAGATGATATAGAAGGGGAGATCTATATTTTAAAAACTTAAAAGTCTCACATCATCTGTCCAAGGATAGAGAAAGACATGTCTGAAAAGACAAGAATAAGCAATGATGTCTCAACTTTAGGGTTTGGGTGCAGGCTGCAGGTGCCTGGGGAGCACTGTGTCCCACAGCACAGAGGTAGGAGGTGGAGTCTCTGGGCTGGGAGTCTGTGATGTGCAGGGAGCTGTGACTTTCCTTTGTTTATCGAGGCGAATACTCTTCCATTCTTCATCTGTAAGCTCAGGATAAACACGGAGACAACACTTCCTCCAGGATCAGTGTAAGGTGGTCCTCCTGTTGCATAACCGCAGTTGACTGTGATAAATTCTCCTTCCTGGCACTCAGGTACTGGGGACTCTGCTCCACTATGGACTTGCTACTTACCCCTGTTTTCAAAGACATCAACAAGAACAGAATAGTATCATTATTGAGGCATTTCTACACATTTCTTTCCTTTACATATTTGCCAGAAGCACTCCAGATTAACCACTTGGAGTCCCTTCTCTCCCCTTCCCAGAATTTTGAAAAAACATCTCATGTCCTAAAACTGCCCAACTTACAGCTTAGCAGAAGCCACAAAATAGCCAACAAAACTGGCCACTTCTTCATCACTGTGTCTGCAGCAGAAGCTCACACAGGTCTCTGTTAGAGGATTTTGGAATATATGTTAGTTGATCAAAGGACTCTGTTATTATTATAATTTCTCTCCATTTACTGTAGAATCAAAGAGGAGTCCTGACCCATCAGAGATAGCAGAAATGCACATGTATGCACTTTTTCAGGGTTACCTGCAAAGTGAACTGTACATAATCTTTTAAATATAATGCCCACATTGCCACCTAGAGACAAGATACGTGCTCATTTATTATCTAGGTCAAATACTCTGATTAAAAAGCAAGACAGAAAACCAGACTTAGCATCATCCATCATCCAACTTGTTCTACATATCACAATTGATTTTTATAAAGCTACTGCATAAATATATAGTTATCTACATTAAATATGATTTTGGTAGTTTCTGTCCATCTTTCCAGTTTGTTGAGATGATTTTCAATGTTTAATTTATGATATATATAAACATATTAGCTACCAATCTCAGCATTGTGCTATTTATGCATTCGATGGGCATACCTTATGTGACTTTACAGAGATGAATAAACAGGTCAGGCTGAAGGATAAAATCCTGTGGTGACAACAATAGAGACATTTCTCTACAAATTGAATCTCTATCTATGGCCATTCTTTCAGCTGAGGATCCACCAATGGTAGCATCATGTGGAACAGCAATGCGAAAAGAGAATACCATGTGGTGCCAGATGAACTTACATTAAGCAGTAGTACTTAGCCCCACTACTTACTAGATACTACTGGGTTTTAAGTAGTTACCACAACTTTCCAGTCCTCAGTGTCCTCATCTATAAAATGGGCACAGCAATACCAAACTTGTAGCTTTGAGGTGAGGATTACAAATAACATTGAGAGTTAACAAAGCATAGTGGTTAAGAATGCAGGCTTTGGGCTAGTTTATCTGTACTTGTATGCCAGCTCTCCTCTTACTAACTCTGTGTTCTTGGGCAAGTTAGTTAATTTCTCTATACCTTGGTTTCCTTATCTTTAAAAAAGGGCTAGTCATTGTACCTGTGCCATGAGGTTGTAGTAAGGATTAAATGAATTAATGTATATGAAGCACTTAGAACAATATTTCATACATATTAAGTACTTGGTGTTAGCTATTATTATAGATAGTACAAAAGGGCTTGTGATAAATACATTACTTAATAAATGGTACATGATACATATTTTTTATCTTCCTAATGATATAGTGAGGAAAAAAATGCCAAACATTTGACACAATTTAAGTCCATAGAAATCCCTTGAATTTAGCAGCCTTGTTTTAAAAATGTCTTTAGTGAACTGTCTGGCTCATACTGACCACCGCATTATTTTCTAACAGCTCACATGTTGTCTGGTAATAATCTGCTCTACATTTTGCTGGGTATTAACCCATCTTTTCTGTGTTCATAGGTTTGGGATTTCTTTCATTCCCCTTAGGTTTTTGAAGTTTTTGCCCAATGCCTCTCCAGTCATGCCTGCAAACTCTTTTTGTATTTTGGGAATGAATTTAAATGGCCTGGAAGACTTGATCATTTTGAAAGCATCTAAGCCCTCTCTTAGTATTTCTTCATTTGTCATAATTTCCCATTTCTTTGCTTTTTCTTTCCCAGTTAGAAAATTATTCTGTTTGATGGAGAATAAAGGATTTAAAAAAGCAGGAGTTGAGGTGCTCTACTTTTTTTTTTATTCTCTACCAAACAATTACATTTTCCTTGCTATGTAAATCAACAATCTTCCCCACCCCACTGTCTTCTTTAAACTATTCTAAAATGCACTTTATGTTGCACTTCACATTTTCTTTAAGCTTTAACTTTGTTCTGGGTTTTCACTTTATAATGCTTTCCTTAAAGGCTCTATGCACTCTTCACTATTCCCCTTTGCTTGTGTGTCAGACAGTCAGTATTTTTATAATTTTTAGTTAGAATCTGAGTTAGTATACCTCCATGTACTGCTATAAGTTTTATTAGATGGCTCTATCTTTCATATTCTTATTAGAATTGTTTGCAATGGAATAGTAAGAATTTAATTATTTTTCAGAGCTTCTCATTCCATTAACTATAATCACATTTAGAATTTTTGGTTGTCTTTTTTTACTGAGGTAAAATTCACAAAACTTAAAATTCATCATTTTAACTATTTTAAAGTGTATAATTCAGTAGCTTTCAATATATTTTCAATGGTATGCAACCGTTGCCACTATCTAGTTCTAGAACATTTTCCCCCCCAAAACTCCATATACCTATTAAGCAGTTCCTCCCACTACCCTCTTCTCACAGCTTCTGGTAGCCACCTATCTTCTTTCAGACTCTATGAATTTGCCTATTCTGAGAATTTCATATAAACAGAATATACAATATGGGCATTTTGTGCCTGGCTTTTTCACTTAGCATAATATTTTCAAGGTTCATCTGTGTTGTAGTAGGTATCAGTACCTTATTTCTTTTTATGGCTGCATAATATTCCATTGCTGGATATACCACATTTTGTTTATCTATTTGGATTATTTCTACCTTTGGCTATTATAAACAATGCTGTATGAAACATGCATTCACATCCAGGTTTTCTGTGTGGACCTATGTATCATGGGTAGATACATGAGTCCTGTGTAATTCTATGTTTAATATTTTGAGGTGCTGCCATACTATTTTTCAAGGTGGCAGCATCATATTATGTCCCCACCAGCAATGTACTCAGTGTGAAGTAGTATCTTGTCATTTTGATTTTGATTTCTCTCATGACTAGTGAGTACCTTTTCATATGCCTATTAGCCATTCATATATCTTCTTTGAGTAAATGTCTATTTAAATCCTTTGCCTATCATTTTGTTATTTGCCTTTTTATTATTGAGTTGTAAGAGTTATAAGAAACTCTTATGCTCTGGATACAAATTCCTTATCATCAGATATATGACATATATACTTTGCAAATGTTTTCTCCCATTCTGTGTGTTATCATTTCATTTTCTTTGACGTGATGGTGTCTTTTGAAGCTCAATTTTAATTTTGCTGAAGTCCAACTTATCAATGTTCTATTTTGTTGCTTGTGCTTTTAGTGTCACATCGAAGAAATCATTGCTTAACCCAAAATTCTGAAAATTTACTCCTGTGCTTTCTTCTAAGGTTTACAATTTTAAACCTTACATTTAAGTCTATGACCTCCTTTAAGTTAATTTTGTGTGTGGTGTGAAGTAGGAGCTAGTGAGAGAGAAGATGGCATATTGGTCATAATGGCCTGGGGCTGAGGGTGGAGTATGCCAAGTAGGCTGAGCCCTGTTAGGATGGTCAGGACCAGGCAGAGAGATTTCCCTAAGATAGCAGAACTGCTATGGTAGGACTTGCTGATTCCCATATGCTTTGAGTACTAATCTGCCCTTCTATGTCTACCTTTTTCCATTCATCCCCATGTTATATTTGTGTGATTGTTTTTGTTTCTACTTCACGGAAATAAACTAAAGCTCTGAGACATCCATTAACTTGGCCAAATTTGTATAGCTAATAAGTAGTAGATCCAGGGCTAGCATCCAAGTTATTAGATTCTAATTCCTGAACATCATGCAGGGAAGCCTGAAAGACAAGTGAGAGTTGACTTAATTGAGAACAGGGATATTATCTGAGATGCTCTCTCCTGACCCCATTTTCTGTCAACGTAACCCCTGTGCCCCTGGAATTAGAGACAGTTATAGATGATTTTGTTAGTCCTTATCTTTTAATAATGTCCCATCAGGACTGCCTGTGAGCAAGAACAAAGGCCCTCAGCTTGGATGTCCCAGCCTCACTGCACGCTACATCTGGGCCCTTGAGGTTTATGTACAGCACCTCCTGGCTCCTTGGCACTGTGTCTCTCAGAAGGCAGAAGTACACGCTGAGTCTGATACCTGGACTGAGTGTTTCACCACAGGGAAGCTTTCTTCTTTAATATTTCTGTCTCCAAAGTTTTTGTTGTTTCCCATTGTCTCTCTCTGAAGAAACTGCAGAGATTTGCTGGGGTACTGGACATACCAGAGCAGGGTCGGGAACCCTGTGGATGTGGATGTGCAATTCAGAGTCACAGATGTCCCTCTGAGATGGTGACTGGGCCCGTCTGATTCACTGAATTGCCACTGGTTCCTCCTGGAGGGGAAAAAAGTACATGTTTTATGGGTTTGGCTAGAGCTGTATCTTTTGGAGAAAGTTTTATTATTAAGTTTGAAATAATAAAACAAATATTTTAACAAAATGTACTTACCAAACATTAAGCTGAGAATGAAAAAGCTGAGGGAAGAGTTCATGGTTAGTGTCTCTGGTCTACCAGCCGGCTCACTGTTGAAGTGAAGATACAAAGGGGTTACAGTCATACTCAGAATTCATGCATAGATTATTATTATATTGGTGAATAGCACCCCCATGTGACAAGTTGATGAACAGATTATAAAATGGTCATTTGGCTCTCTAGAACTTACTGTCTTCACTATGTCCTCATTCTTAAGAGACCTGTTGGGTGGAACTTGGTCTTTTTGCATGAAGGGGACTTACTATGCCTCTTATAAGTCTGTTGTCTCTAGAACACATTCTAATAGAATAACTTCCACTAAAACGTAGACATCACAATATGTCGGTATTTTACATGGTTGTGTCTATTTTTTTTCCTGTTTTTATAAATGACATCATGATAAATATATGCTTACACAAACCTTGTTCATACATCTAATTATTTGCTTAAAAAATGGTGCACTGAGTACACATTTTGACTAAGTGCCCAATGGTGACATGTTAAAGTTAATATTTGGCCACAGTTAAACCTGAATCTGACTATCAATAAAATAGAATTAGCTTCAGAAATACAAGAATAAATCTGAAATTTCATCCAAAATTTAATTGTTACTGTAATTGTATTATCAAAGATTTAGCATTCGAATTTTAGAATTTAAGCCTTACAGTAAAGGAGGTATAACCTCTCAGAATTGTTTATTGATTGCTCCTGTTGCCACCATATTTCACAACTGCACAACTTTCTACTGAGAATGGTAGTGAATCAAGATATGTTTTGTGCTCTCTTCTAGAAGAGGATAGTGCTGAGGGTACACTTGTGCCTTTTTTATCTGGGCTTGAAGGTTTGGTTGATGGTGATGGTGCAGTTCTGTTGAAGTCAGCTGGCAAAGTGGAGTTTTGTCCCCTTAACTTTGTTCTGGTTTTCTCAGTTGCTTGTTTTTCCTTCCTTCCTTCCTCTTCCTCCTTCCCTCCCTCCCTCCTTCCTTCCTTCCTCCTTCCTTCCTCCTTCCTTCCTTCCTCCTTCCTTCCTCCTTCCTTCCTTCCTCCTTCCTCCCTCCCTCCTCCCTCCCTCCTCCCTCCTCCCTCCTCCCTCCTCCTCTCCTCCTTCTTCCTTCCTTCCTTCCTTCCTTCCTTCCTTCCTTCCTCCTTCCTCCTCCCCTTCCTCCTCTCTTCCTCTCTCTCCTCCTTCCTTCCTTCCTTCCTCCTCCTTCCTCCTCTTTCCTTCCTCCTTCCCTCCTCCTCCTTCTTTCTTCCTCCTCCTCCTTTCCTTCCTTCCTTCCTCCTTCCTTCCTCCTTCCTTCTTCCTTCCTCTCCCTCCTCCTCCTCCCTCCCTCCTTCTTCTTCCTTCTTCCTTCCTTCTTCCTTCTCCCTCCTCCCCCTCCCTTCCTCCCTCCCCTTCCTTCCCTTTCTTTCCTAGCATTATTTTATCTAGTTTCTCTGACTTCAGAAAATTTCTCTCCAAGTATACAGTCTTGCACTTAGACTAGAAGAGACTGGGCTTAGAGTTGAGTGTTTGCAATCTTTATTTCTGGTTACATAATGAGTGGTTCAAGACTAGTGCTGCCCTTTTGGGAAGGGGCCAGGAGTGGTCCTTGGAATAATACAGGAATGAGAAGGGATTCCATGATGGTATGTGTGTCTGTGTGTGTCTGTAACCTTCACTATTTTGATAGCTGGAAAAACGAATCACATTGTAATTTTTTATGTTTCTTTGATTGCTAAAGAATCTGTATACTTCTTTATAAATTGGCCTTTCATACTACTTTTTGTGAATTGCTTATTTTTCCCTAGGAATATTAATGTTTTATTATTGCTATGGTTTGAACGTGTCCCCCAAAGTTCATGTGTGAAACTTAATTCCCAATGCAGCAATGTTGAGAGGTGGGACCTCTGAAACACGATGGATTAATGCCATTATCATGGGAGTAGGTTAGTCATCTCGGGAGTGGATCCCTGAGAGAAGGATGAATTCAGCCCTTTTCCCTTATCTCTTTCTTGCATGAGCTTTCTTGCCCTTCGGTTTCTGCCCTGGAATGATGAAACAAGAAAGCCTTCATGAGATGTGGGCCCCCGACCTTGGACTTTCTAGTCTCCAAAGCTGTAAGAAATAGATCTTTGTTCTTTATAACTTACACAGTCTCAGGTATTCTGTTACAGCAGCACAAAATAGACTAAAACAATTTTTGATTTATAAGACATTTTAATTACAAGGGTATTATCAGAAAATCACATGGTACTTATTTTAAATAGCTAATGGCAAAGAACTTTCCTTCACTGCATTACTAGGCTTATAGGTTTGACTAGTGAGCTGTAACTGGAGGACAATTTGTTCCCAGCCAGATATGCGCAATGTTTTGACAAATCTTTCCTTCCCCCATTTCTATAATAAGATGCAGCCTTACAATGCTCCTTAACCCTGGGACAGCAAATCAGGCAGTTTGTCCGACTTCCCACATGTGCTCCTGTACTCCAGGGCTCTGTCTAAAGAGCAGGAATGAAGTGCTCACCTGTGACTGGCCACACCTCGCCCTCTTTTGCACTCAGCTCCTCCTTCATCTCTCTCACTGTGTCGTGAGGAACACAAAAGTACACAGTTGGGCCTAGTGCTAGGAGAAAGGGTTTCTTCAAGAGGAAGGAGGTTTTATTCCTAACCTAATGGGCCCGAAACCTTTGTGATTTTTCTCATTTATCATGATGCCTCAGAGAGAAGG